TTCTTTTTTATTAATAACATAAATTCAAAATTTAATGTAGGCAGTTTTTTTTTTTAATTCTAAGTTATTTTTGCAAGAAGATTGATTGTCTTATTTTATAAAAGACATAGTTAGCGTTATTTATATTCCCTTAGGACAAAAGATGTTATAATAAATAGTGTATGTATGTAATTTATACTTGAATAAATTAATAGTTATTTAGACCACAAGAGAGCAAAGTGTATCTTTTCTTCCCACAGGTGGAAGTAACTGCCCGACACTCGTCGAGAGCAGTAACCACTCAGGGGAAAAAAGACACTTTCCTCCAGTGTAATACATATAATTTTTCCTACGATCCAGAAAAAAAAAACCTTCAAAGGTGACAATATCTCTTGATACCCCAGTTTCACCATTGAATCTAGCAAATCTGTTTCTATAGTAGAGATAAAGTTTTTTATTTTTCAACACTGTCAAAATTTACGGTTTTTCTCCCGTGTAAGGAAGTTTTGACAACTGTTTGGCATTTCTCAATACAAAACGTCAAATTATTTTTAACAGATTTAAAGCAAGTTTAAGCCTTGTTGACTCTAATTCGAAGAATAAAATGTTGTATTCCACTCGTTTGAGTGTAAATCGGACGCTTTATTCCACCTCGTGGATGGTAACCACTCGTTACACTCGTGGTTTAAAAATCCACTCGGTCAAATAAAGCGTCCGATGTACACTCAAACTCGTCGAATAAATAACTATATCTCCCTGAGAAGATACTTATATTTTTATTGTAATTTTGACAGATGAGGAAAGTAACAATTTTATGTGAATAAAACTTTTACCTCCCTGGGAGGCAATTGGCCACTTACCTTTGTGAAATTAAGGTGGAAAAACTTACTTTCTGTTAGGGTCGTAAGAAAAATAAGAATTCACAGGAAACACCTCATGACAAGAAACAAATGAAACAACGCAAGTATTGAAAACCCTTTAAACTACAAAAAAAATTATTGAAACTCTAATAAGGTGGTGGTGTGGTGGTCTGCATAGCAAGTAGGTACATATATACTTACTTTTCTAAATAGGATAACATGGTTGCAAAAAACAATTGTTTTATTTAAAAATTCAACTTTTTATAACGATAAAACTACACTGACAAATTTTTGTATAGAATTATAGGGCTTTGGAATAGGCAGCAGCGCACTACAAAGAAATGAAACATTCTGAGAGTTTGAATCATTTTGATGATGTAAATAAGAGTCTAAAATTGTATATTTTTCTAAATGAATTTTTTTTTGAAAAAATAGCCCCCCTGTCAGTAAATAAACACCAGCTGCGCATCGACCGCCAGCAGCAATTTTCTGCGCGTTATTAGCGCAACCAAAAGCAAAGCGAAGTAGTCAAAAGAGGTGCAAACAATGTCCCTACGTATGCATTCCGTATCGCGATATCAGTTTTCCGCACAGATAACGAAAGCGAACGCAACGTTGTGAAAACAATTACAAGCATATAATACAGCATGTAAAATGCAATGTCACATTACTGATATATGACTTCGTCTACCGACTTGATATTTCCAACACTTAATGCTCGAATAATGGACTCAAGCGTGAAATTAATGGAAAAGCTTGATATATCCGTGATATATCTCGCCTTCCTTTATGTACCGAGGGATAGATGGATAATGAGGTGGAGACGGCGGGAAAAAATTAACAATACATGCCAGTCACATGACGCAACAGAAAGACAAACGCAGAGGGCGGTAAGGTGAGCTTTCACTTCATTTGGACGGTTTGTCTTCAAGTAGTAACATTTCGATGTAATACTTGTTTATTTAAACAGGATGACATGTAAAACCGACACATGCATAAAAGCTTGTTATATCAGAGCATAATGAGAAATCTTAATGGAAGATTTCAATCTAAATTATCAGCAGCCACGGCAGTGGCAGTTCGAGGCCAAGAAAATAATAATAATTATCATTTGTAATCACTCATATCACATGGAGTTACAGTGATCTACACATCGCAGGGGTCACTGAACTCGACAATAATTAACAATCCTGAAATACGTTCAGATAGCATCAAATCGACCGCTCTTATTACTTTTTACCAATTAATTCGATTTGACAGAACTGCGTGGCCAGCCAATCAAACAGGTATCCATTCAAGTCAAGTCAACTAGACGCAAGACAAAACATTGTCGTGTCAGGAATTATTACAACTTTTTGCTTTTATCAAACAATAAAGTTTATATTCAATTAAAATTTTATTAGAAGTTTACGTCGGTTCTAAGCACGAATGAATCATGAACTACAATGGATCTTTCAATTTATCTGTTAACCTTTCACCGTAATCCCAAAAATCAAATCTGCAACACACCTCTCGTAAACACAACGCATACTTAGCCTATCATTGTAAAATACCACTGCCGGTGTAAATACCCTTCACAAACACGGTTTATACAGGAATTTGCACAATTAACTACAGGTGTAAAAACTTATACGCACATGTTTTCGTTTAAAGATGGTACAATGAACCAAAAGAATTAAAGTTCAGTTTTTGGACCCTCGTTCAAAAAAATTATCAAATGACCCGTCTTATCGCAAGAAAACAGATAACGAATGTCAATAGATCATTATTTAGATTATTGTTAATAGACTTTAATTTTTATTAAATCCCTTGAATACGGCTGACCCTCTTCATAACAACACTTCATACAGAGATAATAATTTTTCAAAAGAGACTACAAAACAACAAAAAATTTTGCAGAAATTTTGATTTTTTAGCCTGTAAAATGCCAAAGGATACCTATTCTTTGAGGCATTTGAGCGTAAAATTATCAGGTGTCACATTTTTTAACAATAAGTTTTAATTCGCAAAAACAAAATAGAAACAATTTCCCAGCCTTTAGAACAGTGGACATAGAAACGACCCTAGAAAAAAAATAATAAAAAACTGACTTTATTCTGAAATACCTATAGGTAGTAAACTCACTTATAATCATATTTGTTGTTTTCACATTTCGTTCTTTTTAGTGGTAAAGTATTATACAATTGCAAATATGTAATTAATTTAATATTTAATATAAAGCGTTAAAATGTAATTTATTTTGTATCCTTATGGAAAGTTAGTCATCGGTCACTTTTTTTGTTTACAAGATAAAATTTCAAAAGTAAACAAAAACATCGCAACTTTAAATTATAAGTAATATTAACAAACAAATTAATAAATTAGCATTTAGATAGCATAACAATTTTTTAACGTGATATTATTATGTTACTCTATACTTTTTGTAAATTAATTTGAAAAATACCTACTGAAGTTCAAAAAATAATAAAAAATTTGTGCATAAAATTCATCTCTTCCATTCAAATAAATACATAACAAAAATTTGACGTATTTTGGACAACCCAAGTCAAATGATATGTCTGTATCAAAGCTTGAATTATTTTATTAAGTATAAAGTTTTACTTTAAGTTTATATTTTGTAATTTTATTTGTTACAAGGTTGACAAAATTGCACCAAAAAAGCATTACTGTAAATTAAATTAATTAACTTAATGCGTAAACAATAAGAAATGCAGATCTAGACATCTTCAAATCCTGTCGCTAAACCCACTTTCAGGCGTTTATAGACACTCTGTATATTAAAAGTGTGTAATTAATAATTTCTCATTTTCTAAAATTATAGGCAGTGTAAATGTAGTAGTCATGACGTCATAACCCGATACTCAAACATTTGCTGATGTCCAACCCTATTATCAACTGATATCTTCTAAATAAACAATCTAACAAAAATAATTATTTCGTCCGGGTGCTTTGCATAAGTATTGGTTACGAAGGCGATAATTGGCAGTTAAATATAAAATTTCAATAACCTAATCACGGGTTAAGATCAGAAAACCTTATGGAGGAAAAATTAACTTTGTGTTAAATGAAAACCTGGAAGAAAATAATTACTACGACCGGAGGCACTAAAGCTCCGAAACTATCAAATTAAGGTTCGAAATTTACATGGAATAGGTACGAAGCTCGGAGAACCCACACTTCCACCACTTGTCGCAGGTGTGTGAGCGAACAATAGAATGGATGTGAAACTATTTAATAGGTGCTGAACACCGTTTAACACTTTACAATACAAATTGCGGCACGATAATAGGGCGCCCCTGGATGGTCACAGCGTGAGAGGAGTTTTTGAACTACAAATTATTTGCAAACAGATCAATTGAAATTATAACAAACTGACGACTTTCTCCTCATTGTCCATCGCAATTAGGTATACGAGGTCAAAGGTGCTGATAGCATCTATGATACAAGTTTTAATAAAATATGACACTCCTATTGGACATGTAGCTCTATTTATGGTCGGCAGTAATTCAAACAAACTTCCTGGATAATTTTCAAATCGAATTCTTATCACTTCGTCTCTTGTTATCGACATCAGACGAGTCAAAAACACCATAAATACCAAGAACAAAATAAAAATACTAAATGGTATCTCTTATTTATTGACACTAAGGACAAAAATATGACTTTATTAAGTTTAGAATAAGATTAGAATGAACCGAATCGAAATTTGTTTATTGGTAACGATCAAAATTTTTAATCGCATTATTGTATCGGATACACACACCTAATTCGCTGTAAACAAGAAATGTTTTGCAAATAACTATAACATTACTCCACGCTGATATAAATTAATGAATCACGCTAATCTCGAAATGTTTGGCAGGTATAGGCGCGCCTTGTTTCAGCGGCCTGAAACTGAAAAGATAATCTTCGCTTGGTCGAATCAAAACATTCCAACTTGTGGAAAAAAGAGATAAGTGATCATACCTGCATTAAAAGTCATAACAATAAATCATGGGCCCGATGGGCGTAACGCGGTAATTAAAAATAAATCGGATAATAATAGTCGAGACTTTGATTCTTTTGTGTTGGTCAATAACGAGCACATTATCGTCTTATCAGTACGACACACACATGAAATAGTAGATGTCAGCAACAATTACAAAACAAACTAGCACCTACTTTTCAGCGGCTTTGGGTTGCTCTGCTTTCGTCTGGACATCGTTGGTAATTCCCCGAAAGCGCCAATTAAAGCCGAAAGTCACATGGCACGGACATTATAAAAAAATACGTAAAGCACAAAAGAAACACAAAAGCACTTGACACTAACAAAGCAACAAAACAGGAAAGAAAAGGATCAACAGTTCAACTGGTAACAATAAGGGGGTGTCCAAAAAAATACATGGTTATGTTTTCGAAAATTTGACAGTTGTTCACGTGTATTTAGATAACGCACCAACTATACTCCCTTTTCGAACGTTTCAGAACGACTGGCGATACAGTGACTCACTGAAGTTTGTTGATGTAGCTTTCGCGCGCACACTCAGTCGTACTTGGTGTATGCGCTCCTCTGTATTCTTCACCGGTTATCAGACAACAACAAAGTCCTTATCAATTCAAAGTTTTACAAGCATTTGTTCTTTTCTTTGCCTTATCGTTGCGCAATGGAAAACCATTGATGCCAATACCGGTAGATGGTCGTGAATAAGAGATTTTATACATTGTGGGCTTGTTGGTGTTTCCTCTGACGGCTCCCTTATTTAAATTAACCCCTTTTCCGACAAGCTCGAGCTAATTGATGTTAACCGCTTTAAAATTTAAAATTAAAAAGCTTTTCATAAAATAGCATTACAACAAAAGTATCAATTCGAGAACTAACCAGGGCACTGATTATGAAGCTCTTAAAATCGTAATTGTTTTTTTAATTATTACCACAACACAACACGATAGTAATCAGCGTAAAAAATCTAGCAAATGGTACCAACGCCAAGTCAATATACTATTCAGAGTAAATCATAATCTATGCACATAAAGTTAGGAAATTATAGCGTATGATCAATAATGAGTAAAAAATGTAAATAAGAAAGTATTTTATTTTTGTTAAATTAATTAATTGAAACCCTTATAAATTAATTTAAATGCGCTCCTAGAAATCCCGAAAACTAAAAAAAGTGTATAAAACGTTGTAAAAACGTAAAAAATCAATATTTGAACCAACGCATTGACATTTGACACCTCGCCGGGCGTATTAAAAATTGTGGTCCGTTCACAACACACTCATATCACCGACAATTATAACGACAAATTTAAATAAACAGATTAGAATAGAGACATACTCCTAATATAATAAGGCCCTGCTTCGAAGAGGTAGGTTCGGGGTTCGAAGTTCGAACTCGAACTCGTAAAGTCAGCGATTTTTCTCTAATTTCAGTAAGCATAATAAGAAAGGATAAGCACATAAAAGCAAATAAGAACAAAGCTAAAAGCATGAGAACATTTTTTATCGTAAATTCGATTTTTTTTGTATGCTACACAAAAAATCAGAAATTTTAAAATGGAGGAAATGATGTTTTCTGCACTTTTAATGATCTTAGAAGATATGCGTTCGACAAAAAATTTTAAAAATGGTTGATCAACTTTAAATTGCAAAAATGTATGGTTTCCGAAACGTAAAAGCATGCACCAAAAACGATGCAATACTTTTAAAAAGCACGACAACCAGCAGTTTTTGAAAAATTGTAAAAAAAAATAATGCTGGAAGCATGACAATATCCGTATGTAATCGAAAAATTATTTTTCTTTAATATCTTAACAAAAACCGGAAATTTTTCCTGCACAAACGTTTTTTTTATGTTTTTTTTGATTCTATTATTCACTATTATTTATCAATATCTTGAGATTCAAATTACCTATTATAGTGGCAAACGAGAATGTTTTCGATGTTCCCAAAAAAAATTTTTTTTTGAGTTGATCTAGTTGTGCGACCTGCAATTTATGGAATTTATTTATCTAAATACTACACGATCAAGAATGACTGGATAAATAATATAATAATAGAAATAAAAAATATTTCTTTTTCGGTTGTTTTCAATACTGCTGTTTATATTTAATTTGCATAAAATTTGAAGCGACAAATGATAAAGTATCAAGGAGATGTACTCCAGTTAAATATCATTTAAAAATATAACAGGTATTTGTGAATCCTTTTTTGTTTAATTGTAGGTAAGTATATCAACTACACTACTCCAAAAATTAAAGGAACAAAAAATTTTCCTAAATTTTTTGGTGATTTTTGAAAGCCTGTAACTCATCGAAAAAAAAACAATTTTGAAGCTTTAAGTTTCTAGTTATGAGATCTTTTTGCAAATATTTTTTATTGCTACAGTTATCACGCAATTCTAAGTAATAGCGCGAGAAAAAGAAATCTAAATTTTTATGTTCTTGTTTTTGATCCACGGACGTAGAGAATTTTTTTTAGTTAAGCCAATGCATAGGCCGGATAACATGTTTGTTCACCTTTAATATGCTTTTTTCATATTCCCTTTACGAAAATTTGTCGCCGGATGTCTGACTTTAAATAAAAAAGGATCATCTTGTCTTTGATCATCGATAACTCAGCAACCAATGACTACACAGAGAATATAAGGGTAGTGTCAAAAACTGGAATAAATGTCTTATAAGATCCTCTTACGATTTTTTGGAAAAATTTTTTTTTTCAACTTTAACATTGATTTAAAGAAAAGAGAAAAAAATAACTTTTTGCGTTGTTTTAGTAAATCTACCGCGTATTCACTAATATTGATAGAGAAACTAATATTTTTCTCTCCAAGTCCGTGAACCAAAAATAAAACCATAAAAATTTAGAATTTTTTTTTTTGGCGCTATTAGAATTGCGTGATAACCGTAGCACAGAACAAATATTTGCCAAAAGATCTTAAAACTAAAAACCTAAAGCTTCAAAATGTTTCTTTTTTTAATCTAGATACGACCATTTTTCGATTCAAAAATCACCAAAAAATTTGGGTAAATTTTTTGTTTCTTTATTTTTTTGGAGTAGTATAGTTATTCCGAGCTGCTTTAGTCTTTAGAATAAACGAAACATATGAAACATAGGTATACAGTTTATTTAATTATTTAACAAATAGATGAACAATATTTTATAACAAAATATTTGGTAACAAGCCCAAACAATTACTTTATACCAAGAAAAAGTATTCAGTGGCTCATTTCCATAAAAGTTTTAGTGTGAACATCTTCATACATTTGTGTGATTTCCATTCTCTCATTAGCCACATCTTCAAGCATCTTGTATAACTCGGAGTTAGTTTTGAAACAATTCTTAAAAGCTCTTCTGTCCAGTTTATAGACTTCACAAATTTCAACAGCCACGATATTGGCAGTTCTCCTTTTATCCTTGAATACCAGTGAAATCTCCCCAAAGTAGGCACCATCATGCAGATGACACACTTCTTTACCAGAAGGTGTCCACACCCCGACTGTTCCACTTGCCAGAAAGTACATACAGTCACCCACAGACCCCGCTTTAATTATAATATCGTTAGACAAGTAAATCTCAGCCTTCAAATTAGCGACGACTTGTTCCAAAGTTTGTTGTGGAAGATGGGTTAACAATTCCACGTTTTGTACCAATTTACTACACACATTCAAGTTAATTTCTCCTCGCAATTTATCCGAAAGCAAACTGGTAATCCCTCTTTCTTTGAAAAACTTTTTGTTATATTTATAATCGTAAAATTGCAAAAGTCTTGTTTGCATTGACATTGGTAATTGTTTTTGACTCATGTAAGCTTGAACCTGACTAATGGTCTCAAAATATTTGATTTCAAGAGATCTTTGTCTAAGCAAGAAATTCAAAAGCAGAACAGTAATATAAAAAACGTAAACTTTTCCGAAAATAAAACTAGCTAAAGCCAAAAGCTTCTCTTCCCATACGTCAACTGCAATTTCTTCAAAAGTGATACAAAGCAGACCTCCTGCGGCTCGATATATACAAACAATGTACTTTGAAAGAAAAGGTAACTCGGGAATGTCTGTTCTTTCAACCCAAGATTCGGCCAAAATTTCTCCATAAGTGTAAAAGCGAATTTGCGGTATCATATACTGAAAACAGGCAAACCAGTGAAACACAAGATAATTGACAAGAATGTTCTTTAACATCTGAATTGTGATACTTTTTACCCCCAAAACATCAAGACTCCTTGTCATATAAAAATACAAAGTCGGTAACCGTATTATCCTCAAAAATGAGAAAACATCGACCAAAGATTGAGTGTTATGATCGCTGATCACCAATTCTAGAGGCAGGGAAGCCAAAAGATCAGTAATAAAATAAATACTAAAGATATATTTCTTGGCTATTTTCCACTGGTGCATGACAACCTTTCGTGATTTTTTAACAGGAAAACCGGTGAAAAACGTCATTATTATATCGATGATACTCAATAATCGCAAACACAGATTTAAAGGATCAATTTCGTTTGGTACGTCCTTCCTTTCTTCTTGAAGCAAGTGTTGATGGGAAGCGTTTATCAAATCAAATGCTGCATCAGCCGGCATCAGAAAAAGTACTAAAATCCAAACTAGTGTCATCCACATTTCGTAGTACGCTCGAAAAATACTAAACGGGTGAATTATCCAAGATTTTGACATCACATGCTCTTTTCTTATTCTCAGAATTTCGGCCTTACTTCTGTAATAATCGGCACTTTGTGGATTGCGTTCCGATATGAGTGTACTTTTCTTAAATGAACGTCGGAATCGTTGGAAACAACTTGCATTTCTCCTAAGAGGAGGCAAGAAACTCATTGATTCATCCACTTTGATACTGCATCGATGCGCTTCGACTTCTCTCTTGCGAATATTAAAACGACATAAAAATGCACCCATTTTGAGAAAATTGAAATTGAATATAAATGACGTTTCGTACCTTTTGCTTTCAAATTTTTTCTCGACTATTTGATTTTATGTTAATACAGTCAAATTCAAAAAAAGTGGTTGTCAATGTGACATTTTAGCGTAAAATTAATTATTATTCCTGAGAGAATAAATACAAACGAGACAGATTTCTAAATTCGTGAAGGGTATAATGTCTCTGTACCTGAATCCTAATCCACTAATTTAGTATTGTAAAATCTCCAATATTTACAAGCTCTTTGTACAGACCAAAAAGCCGACACAGTGCTTTACTTATGGGACATGTCTTAACTTTAATTCCAATTTCCGGCGCTCCTAATTAAGTTACACGTTTGGCGCAATGATATGATTTGTTAGGCATTTTGAGACTCGTCTATTGATATAAAAATTATCCAATTTGAGTGGTACTTAAGTTCCCAAATAAGGTGTGACTAGACCATTTCAACTTTAAAATTATTCCATATAACGTTTTTTACATTTCTAGAGGTCTTAAAGACTCAAAAAAGTGCATAAAACGTTACTGGGTCAAGTTTAAAAAATTACGAATTTTTTGAGTTTTTGAAGGTGGTAAAATCGTAAAAATAGTCAATTTACTTTAAGTCGTAAAAACGCTTAAAATATGGATTTCTACACGTAAAATTACGTGCTGAACACGATGCAACAAACTAAAATACTCTACGATGCATAATTTTTGAGATATTAAGTAATAAAATTAAGAAATTAAGAATAAGGCTAGAAGCATAAGCACTATATCAAAAATCAAAAATCTTTGTTAACAAATTTTTGCTTTTTTTATTTTGTAAAATGCGGCAAAACTGTGTCTCAGTGATATAATATTTTGACGTAAACCTATGTAGAATGTTCCGGGGAATCGATTGGCGTCAAGAAAACTGCAAAATTCGTGGTAGTTTTGGAGTTATAGTCGATTTTATATTTTTTAAATTCTTAACTTTATCTGAAATTTTCTCCATAACTATTTATCGTAGAACACTGTTTTTTTTTTGTATATGATAGAAAATTAAATTGCCAAACATAAGAGGTTACCACCAATAAATCCGGAGTTATTGGCAATAGACCGCTACGGGTGCCAAAAATCCACAAAATTTCGACAAAAATCAAAAAAATTTTCAACCTTAAAATTCTTCCAGATAACGTTTTTTAAATTTCTAGAGGTCTTAAAAACTCAAAACAGTGCATAAAATGTTATTGACAGAATATTTTTTAACACCCTGTACAATTATAAATAAGTGCGCATTTTTTTTTACATAAATAAACACCCCCTATCACAAATTTTCTCGATAACTATTTAACGTAGAGCACTGATCTTTTTTTGTATATGATAGAAAATTAAATTCTCAGTGGCATAAGGTCCCACTTTCCAGCAGGTAGGTCGGCGGCAAGTCGGCAATTTTTCACAAATTCAAATTCAAATATAATTCAAATAAATGTAAAAAGAGAGCGGGCGCATAAGAGCGCGATCTTTAAAAACATGTGCACGTGTTCTAATAAGTACAGTTGGAACCAAAATACTTTGGTCGTCACTTTTCTGACACTTTAATGTAATTCAAGCTTTAACGTTAAAATGAATGACAATTTTAAATTAATGACAGCTATTATATTTTCCTATCAAAAAAATGTACATACAACTTGTCAACTATAATTGACAGTGGCTAAAAATAAGGTTAACAGTCCTAAAGCATGCTTTACAATTTAATGTCACTCAAGTGACATTGACGACCAAACTATTTTGTTTCCAACTGTATAAGAGAGAAAGCGCTCAATACTAACTAAAATAAGCACTAATAGATGGCGGGCGTATAAGAGCGCGAACTTTAAAACGAGTATCTACAAAAGTGAAAATAGTGTAAAAAGTATAATAGTATATAAATACGTAAACAAAAGGGAAGTTAGTAATATAAATGAAAGATAAGTTTTGCATTAAAAATTAAGAATTTTTTTTATTAATTATTGTTATTATAAACATAGGTCCGCAAAGTAACAGAATATTTTTTAACACCCAAATAAGTGCGCATTTTTTACATAGATAAACACCCCCTAAACTCAATCTTTTCCTGTGCTAATAATAGAATTATTCTAAAACAATTATCACAAATTTTCTCGATAACTATTTAACGTAGAGCACTGATCTTTTTTGTTTATGATAGAAAATTAAATTACCAAATATAAGAAGTTATCTCTAATAAGTCCGCAGTTGTTGGCATTAGACCATTCAGGGTGCCAAATTTGACTGGATACATATTATGATTTTCCTACATAATAACATGATCATGAGAGTTGAAATTTTTTTTTATATCTTATAACTTAAAAGTGTTATAACTATCCTCGAACATTTTATTGTTTTTAAATGTTGTGTTTCACAATCTTCCTTAGATTACTAGAGGCATCTTTTATTTAGTTTTAATAGCTTACAGATTTTTCACAGATGTAGAAGAACTCTACACATATATTTTACCGTTGTACGCAAATAACTGCGCAGATGGCAGCACACACATAAAAGAGCATAGCCTACTTCATCTGTTTTCCGCTGCGCTCCCTACGGCCGTAACATAACGAGCCTCATTCAAAATTCATTCTTTTTAAACTAGTTTGTTACTGAAACGTTTGTCGAAGACTACTGAAACGACTAACTTGGTCGGCCAAATGCGTGCTGAAGTAACAACGTAACACTCTTTTGGTGCGCTGAAGGCAATCCTCTGCAACAAGAAGCTATTTTCATTCTAATTCTAAAAATTATCTCAAAAACTGTGCCCGACAACTCTGTTCAATGTTATTTGTGGCTTTTATTGGCAAAATTTTTGTCCCTTTACTAAATAATTGTAAAAAAACATATACAAGATCATCAGTATCATTAAATAGATATAAAAAAATGTCAAATGTCAAAAAATAAATGTCAAAATTTTTTGACAGATAGAATTTTTTAAGCATTTTTTTCATGTTTCTGGTATCTTACCTTACTTGAAAATTTTCTCTGGGGCGCGAGTTCTGACGCACCTGTATATTCGAGAGCATCCTATCTATTATAATGGAGCTTAGGTAAAGGTTTTTATTAATTTTTGTTCATATAATTACCAAAAATTTTAAAACAACAGGATTTGCATATCTGTATTAATTAATCCAGAACAATATTTTATTTAATTACGGTGTTAAGTGATTCATTAATTATTAATAATTATGCGCTAATAACTTTATTTTTGTAGACGCTATCAGTATAGTAGAACAGTTTGAAATTTAGATTATACGAGTATGTAATTACAACTAAAGGTCCTAATAATAAAAAAATAATAATAATTTGTTAAATAAATTATTTTTTATGACAATAAGTTTATTATAGTGTTGTGCAAAGAAACATGTAATTAAAAAAATTCATTAAGAAGATACTGTCTAACTCATTATTAATGAATAAATATAAATGTAAAATACATAATATAACAATAGTGAAGTTTGTACCGAAACTCCCTGAAATTGTTTGCCCATGACACCACGTAACCCTATTTATTGTACTTTGATACCAAAATTGAAATGCTAAATGACAGTCTTTAATAATGACAAAGTCAATAAATCACAATGAAAATGTCTGACATTGACCATAGTAAATTTTGATCCAAAATTCCACAAGGAAACATATAATGTTTAGTCATTCAAAACTCATAGCATTGAGATACTAATAATCATATTGATATTTTACAGCAAAAAATGAGAATTGCTCAAACAAGTAGACTTTAGACATTAGACCACCAGCAAATTTTCCGCAAAAAAAAATCTAGACATTTATCAATGCGTAAGCAAACCATTAAAAATTATGCAGACATCTTATATGACATAATAATGCCATATTAGTTATATCGTTTTTGAAAAAGGTATAAACGTTAATAAAAGTAAAAAATAACCAGTATATTTCGAAATGCGTAAATTACTGACTTTTCAGTTACCTTTGAAAATTTATTAAGTTACATGATTTTTACGCGAAGTGTCTACTATTTAATTGATTATTATCAATAAATTAATTCTAAGCAATTTTCTTATTTGATTCGTTTGTATTAAATCACATGTTGGAATACAAAAATTGTGTTATGATCTCTATTACAATAATCAACATCTATTGTACAAAATCTTTTTTTAACTTATTAACTAACAAAAATAGTTTCTGAAATTGTACTCTCATAATGCATTAAAATACCACAAATACCTACATAATATGTACATGTTATGTATTTGTGGTACATACATAACATATAATACGTTAACGTTTACTTGACATAAAAATTCTAAAATTGTACAAAATATACTGAGTGTATTCAAAATACCGCATCTCTTGGAGACGCTATAGAAGGAAAACTTCCCCACAAACCCCAGCAAACTAATTTAACGTGACCGTTGTTATCAATATGAAGAAATAAAATTTCCTATAATAATGATGTATAATCTGTCTTGTTGCTATATAGAAAATTTATGTAATAATTGTACCTACATAGCAAGTAGCAAGCATGGTAAACCTTAACCTCTATTTCAATCACATGATAAATTGTTTTTAATAAAAAATGCAACCTTATTAAAGATGACAAAATTCACGTGTTCTCTATTGGACATTGAACCGTAGCAGCTTCCCTCATTAAGATTGCAAAATAACGGTTATAAATTCTTAATAATTTAATGATGAGAAAGTGTACAGCTTTACACAGGTAGGTATATTTTATTATAGTCAGAACTACATCATTCATGTCACACCCACAACTGTTTATTACTTTAAATTTTATTGTTTACAAAAATGACTCATTATTATGGTGACCTCGTACAATTCTCATCACAACATTATTTAACGATAATAAACTTTAGAAAAATCGTGACGAAAATAGAAAAGATTTGCGTAACATTGTTGTGAACTCCTCATCCAGGTAAATGTTAAGTGAAAAATATTGACACTATTGACACATAAGTGAATAAAAATAACGGCATGAGATAAATAAATATAAATATACTCTTGTGTTGACTGATATAACATCATCAGAAATGGGGTAAAAAATCAATAAAATTTTTATTAGTTCCAGGTCCAGCAGGCATTTTAAATGATTATCTTTCACCATATGTGTATTTGATGATCAGTAAATAAATTAATATTTTTGATTTTTATTAGGCACGATCAAAGCAAAAGCCGTTTCTTACAACACATAACCAAGAAGTAAACATTTTCTGTGAAAACATCCAAAAATTAAGCTGAAAAAACAGAATTTAAATACAGTTTGATATTGACCATAAACACTTAATTAACATAGAGTGATCAGTGATCTTAATAACGCATGTCAAGGATATTCCAAATATTTTCCTTATCATTAAAAAAATCGCCTATGGTTGGTCACGCTGAAATCACGCTGAAGACAAAATTACTTCAATTTACACACCCACAAAAATCTTCCTTTGTTTGCGCGCCAATTCCCATAATTTTTCGTACTGCCAAGAACAGGAAAATTTTGAGAATATTTTTGGTAGTGAGGCCTTGCAAAATTTCGATAAATATAATATCTAAACCTCTAAGCCTTCACTACATAAGTTAGGTCGGTGATTAATTCGGACATTAGATATTGACAGTCATAATTGACATCCACAAATGTGATTAAAAATAAAGAATCGCATGAACTTGAAATATTTAAAAAGAAAGCGCTCCGCATGCTGTCATCGATCGTTCTCTGGGGCTTGCCTGTGACGTAGTCCTAGTCAGACACGCTTTCATGACGTAAACATCACGGCCGCGGCCACCGATATCAGCCGGGTAGCACGTGAACGTCACGCTTGTGATCACGCGTTCTCTGCATGATCACTCGCACCGGATTGGAGAAAAACGACGAGCCCCCGCTTCCTATTGGCGGATTCGGCTGTTCAGCGCCAAACACACCCCAAAAGCTCATGCCAGAGCAATAACATCACTAAACGCACCAACACACAGATTCATTTTATTGTGACCACCGCAGAGTGTACCAGTTCTACTCTAGTGATGGTGTCAAACATGATGAACGAAGAAGTCACCACACATTTACTCTCGCCTCCCAGCACACCCCCTATGAAAAATGTAAGTCGCCCCTAAGGGATATCCCCTATAGCAAGAGTCGCAAATATTTTTTTATTACAAACCAAATGAAGGCAGATTATACCGACATTGGCAAGTCCTACTTTTTTGATGTTTTTTTTTTAATTTTAGTATTCTTAAAATTAAGAATATGTATTTCATTAGATTATTAATAATTTTTTTTTTCATTTGATCTGCAATACCGAAACCTGATTTTTGTCTTTGACCAATTATCCTTTTTTGTTTCTTAATTAGACTTTTTTTTACAGATATCCGATGAAGAGTCTACACTTCAGTCCGTGCGAAGCCTTTTGGAGAGGAAACGGGCCTCTCCAATCCTCCTCACCCCCCAGCCCTCAGACTCCGAACCCGAGGAATTAGACTACCCTCCAAAAAAACGTTTTTGTAAAAACGAAACCGAGCTCGCCCGCCACCTCTTGAGTCACACTCCACCCCCCGAACCCCCTCGCAATTTCTCCGTAATAATGCACGCCAACAAAGACGGATCCTGTACACGCGCCCCTATCCCTGTCGAGCCACAAATGAACATCCTGCGCAGCCTCAAATTCAAAATGGGGACTCGCAAGGAGGACATCTTCGTCAACAGCAAAGATACAGGCAAAGAACCCCCCAAGCCGTCGAAAATCATCCTTCCCGCCATCGCCCCCAAGTTCAATCAAACGCAGGCTGTGTTTCTGGCCGCTGACGGGACGACCACGTTCATCCCCGGGGCTCAACTGGTGTTGCTAACGCCGACGCCCCCGCAGCCGCCCCCACCGGCCCGTCGCAGAGTGTACGAATGCACGTTCAAGGGGTGCAATAAGAACTATTTCAAGTCGTCGCATCTCAAAGCACATAATAGGAAACACACAGGGGAGAAGCCCTACAAGTGCGAGTGGGAGGACTGTGGGAGGAGGTTCTCCCGTTCGGATGAGTTGTCTAGGCACAAGAGGACTCATACTGGCGAAAAGAAGTACAAGTGTAGTTTTTGCGATAGAGGATTCATGAGGTCGGATCATTTGACCAAACATGTTAAAAGACATACGAAAGACAGGGCAGGAATGCAACCCCAGAAAATGTTCTTGCCTGGCTTGCTGAGGCCACTGCAACCAGCGCCAGTTTAAGACTTTCTCTCGATTATTTTGTGCCTATGTTGCTGCTGATTTTCTAGGTTTAATGCAAATTCGCACGACTGATTTCTCGTTGTAAATACATTCCACTCTTCATCGAGTCAATTGTTACATTTACAATGTTATCTGTGATTTTTTATATTATTTATTTTAGAATAGTGAACACTAACTGTATTAAGTCACTTGTGTATTATGTACCTTTAAAATTATTGTATTTATAAGAAAGAAATAGATTTTTTATACAGTTAAAATTTGGATTTTTAATACACCTTCATGTCGTGTCCAACCCACATTACGATGGAAAAAACGCAATTATGTTAGTACATTAACATCCATTTACATTAGAAGGATTGTCGTCCTTGTCTTAATTATATCAATGAATTCCGACGAAGGTCAACTTTACGATAATAAGTATAGGTAATTTAAACAACAATGTTGAAATTAAAATACGATTCAAAAAATCTCTTATACTACAACTTCGGACTACAAACATAATAGTTCCAAAATGATGAGACATTTATCGTTAACATTATTCAGAACTTGAAATTTTGCAACATATGCATTGAAACATGTTTTTCAACATCCAGTGTATAATGCCACTTTGACACCTAATAATTTTCATTAATTTTGTTAATACCATACAAATAGCCAAAGTGATGGTTCGAAATAGACGAGAACCTTCCGACTAACAGGAAAATTTATTTGCGCAAAGGTTTTTGTCACTACGTTGAAAAGTAGTCTAGAGTTAGTGTATATTTTTTTGTTACTGTCATTTGTTTTAAAAAAAGCCAATCGTAACTTGAAAAAAATTCGTATTTCAAATCCAAAGCTCCACTTTCTTTTGCATGACAATTTAGATTTTGTTTGTTGATTACAATCAATAAGTAATCTGTATATCTGCAAATGGACTTTCATCAATAACATGACCTTTCAAGAAGACAATATTTTGATGATAAGGTCTCAAAAATTGTAAATATGCAAGTTATTATGGTCAAGTTGAATTGACGTCAATGGGATACATGCGAAAGATTGTTGTTATGATAGTGAAGTAAAGGAAAATAGTAGGTACACACTTTATGAAGAACGCCAGCAAACCGTTTGAATTGTTAATATACTCTTCTGAATTATAACTACATAGTTTCACATTTTTGCTTTTTATGATGTAGTTTACATAGTCATAAGAACAGTCAAAATCGTAATGAATTTTAAATAAATTTAATGTCTAGTACTTTTAAATTTAATAATTAGTATGGCTAAGTCGTGTTGTAGTTGAAAGATTTTCATAGTTTTTATAGATGCTTGATTCAAAAAATAAATAATTGGAAACACAAAAACCCTTATAAAATTGTTCTAAAAACAAAAATTAAACAAGAAGTTTTGGGTCAGATTTGATTATTTTGATTATACCTAACAAATACAAGTTACGTATTTAGTACCTATTTCAATGTTTCTTAAAAGCTTACAAAAATATATTTGAAAAATAGTACACACCAATGTAAAGGTTTATGCCCAATATTTTTGTATCTAAGTAAAAATTGTAGTTTTTTAATTACTTATGTGTTTACTTATGTGTTATGTATTATTTATTTATATTACGGTTAAACAAGAAACAAATTGATAAATTTATTGCAAATATAATTTGTTTTCCTACAACTTTTTGAAACAATAACGGTTAATGGTAGACAATTTTGGTATATTTTTTGCTATGAAGCAACTCTAGATGGTTCTGAAAAATGGTAGATTATATATTCCGTATCTATTTTGTAAACGATAAATTTTTGTTTTTGATGTCTTAAGTTTATTTATTTACATAAAATATTTAAATTGAAGATCTAATCTACAAATAACATGTTAATTAACCGAATTTTTATTCATCGATAAGAAGATAAATCAAGTTTTTCTATAAGTTTTAAAAAAGTCAAAAAGTCACCGCCAGTTATCACCATTTAAAGACAGGTAAAAATGCGGAAGTATCACTTATTTGCGATGAATTATGTTGTTATTTTATATCTCTAATCAAGTGATAACACACTTCAAAGAGCTTCGTGTTTGGGGGGAGGGGACCCTGATCACGCATCCTTCACAAGCTCAATATAAATTTTGCGCAACAATAGATTATCCACTGCACAATAAGCCAGAATATAAAGTTCGAATGTTTCGATAACTAAAAGCACGAGTATTTACATGCTGCAGTAAGTATTTGTCAGTACTTTTTCACGCAATTAATTTGTGTATTTCATTAAAATCACTTAAATCCTATCCACTATAATGAATCAGATATATCACGTGAAAGACAAATGAGGTGATAAATGATTACAGTTTTCGACCTTTATCAGGTTATGGTTTTTAGTGCCTATTAATAGACTATTCGAAAACAAAAAGCCTAAATGGATTAATCTCAAGATTAATAATATGCAAATAACGTCGTAAAAAGTATTAGCCTTTGATCAAAATAACTAACAAACTGAATAAATTTAGATTTCAATAAGTTTGTAACCTACATTTTTTTTAAGTATTTAGTAGAGTAGTTGAAGTATTTGTTGCTAAAATCGAATCTCACATTCGAAATTGAGCTCACAAAAAGTTTCTAATACCTACTACTTTGCAAATTGTTTTAATCCCTGTAGGAGTGTATTTTTCCAAAATATGTAGTTACCTCTCAAATTTGTTCTTAGGAGTGGCAAAATGATTAGTTTTCCTTTGTTGCACAACATAGGAAAATTTCAATTATGTAAATAAATGATATTCAACATCAAATTAGGTGTGTTCGGATGTTTCGCGGTCATCTCCGGGTGTTGCAAACCACAGTTGTTACAAATAAATAAATGGATTTTCTACATAATTAAAAAAAATATCAGCATATCTATTACTAAACTCTGAAAGATAAATACGTGAGAAATGACTTTAAAACTTATTTTTTGAAGTTTAATGATTGTTGAAAGGTTTAATCAACGGTGTTATGTTACTAATACTTTACAGGAAACTTGTTGGTTATGGTTATCAAAATGTCTTTACGTATTTTTAGAAAATTTATTACTAACGTTTGCCTATATCAATGTTTTTCAACTTGTCGAAGTTTAAGTAAGGTGAATACATGTTAGTTCTGCATTAATATTCATCAAAGTTAGCGCTTCATTAACATATGGTTTAACATCAGACAAATAATAAAAAGATTTAACATCTGTGTTTTTATACGTATATAATTAATTAATGCTGTCAAAGAAATTTTCGAAAATAAACGTATATGTATGTAAATGTAACTTAACTTTTCAATAATTCTGATATAAAAATTTGAATAAGAATATTACTAATCATAATCAAAATGACAGACTATTGAAGTAGACAAAACATAATAAAAGGTAATACAATAGATTTCATCTTTGAACGGGAGGACAAATTACTCACGACTGTTCATTAAAATTTTTAAGATAAAAATTTTCCTTAGCGAACGCAAAAATATAGATGCGTTTTTGATTAAGTAATAAACTAGCTTGACTGGAAATTTTCCAGTGACGAGATAACATTAAAAAATATTTTAAAAAGATTTTTATAATTATTATAACATAGTTTCAATATATATTTAAATAAACAGTACAATAAACAAATGTTTATTTAACTTCGATGGGCAAACAGATTTTGAAGTTTGGTACTTGGAATTTATCAAAAATATGCCTGGTGGTACGATTTGTTTCAATATGTTCAAGTAAATTAAGTAATTTTTCTTCTTTATAAGTAAAAAAAAAATTCATCATAGGTACTGGTATTTATTTCATTGGTATCTAGTACCTACCTATACGAGCAGGTGAATAAAAAGTGTGGAACTAAGCGTTTTTGCATAAACTAATTACTTTACAAATTAGTGCAGTGTAAGGTACTGCCTATAAAAATGTGATTGTTTTTTTAAAGATAAAATTTTTCGAAATTCCTTTGTTTTCGAGTTTCGCAAAAACATTTTTTTAATGGCAACCTAAACTGTTTTTTAATTGTTGATTGTTAATTGTTAATTGTTCCATACTTTTTATTCACCTTGTATAATATGTACGAGTACCTACCTACCTTTAAGCCTGTCTGTTTACAAAGTAAATGTTTGCACTCCTATTTTAGCATATTATTTAATAATCAAATATTTATTAAAAATAATCTGATTATTACACAAAGGTTTTATTTATTTTTTCCAGACATTCTTTTAACATATTTTATTAGTGTCTTACAATATAAGAACAATTAATGCAATTTATTGCAAAAAAAAATTAAATCTTTTGAGTACTTATTTATTCCTAAATATAACATTAACTCATAACAAATATACCACATAGCACAAACATACTTTATGAAATTAGCGCCCAACAACAATGGATGTTTTTATTGCAAGATTCATTTGCGGCATTTAATAAAAAACGCTAAAACTTAAGGTTTCTTGCTAAATTTAGATCTACAAATTCAGGATTCTTCAAGGAGAAAAAATCACGGCACTAATTCGGTTCCACTGACGCATGTTTTCACGCTTTCACTGAATGCATGTATCCTCGAAGTTATTTACAAGAAGATGTAACAGATAAAAAGAAAGAAACATCGGTTTATCTTGTCGTTATTCTCACGCCCATGTGTCATGTTCAGAGAGACTAATTAAAAATAAACAGAAAAATGTGGATTCATTGAACTTTTCATTGTACAGGATGTCTTCGAGGCGTACCAACGAGGAATGGCGAGTGAAAGCCATTGTCTCGTGTAAATAAATTTCTGTGTATTTCCGTGGATACAAATTGCTTTCAAATTACAGTCACACCATGCTCGGTGAAGTCATCATTCAATCGTTTCGTGATAAGTCATTTTTCAAAAGATTTTCTGTCATCCAAGTATATACATATTTGCTTACGTGCAATTTTTTATTTTTACCAAAGCAAACAAACTGTTGACTCTTAAAAATCTTATAAAACTATCTTTCTGTAAATATTTTCCAGCTGTTACTCTACACATATTTCATAATAAATAGATAAAAATAAAATAAATTAAACATTCAAATAAGAATATAATGTATTACCTATTATAATTCCGAACAAATTATACTCGTATGTAAAGGGTAGAAAATAGATCTATCTACTCTCTGTGTCTCTGTATAAAGATTTTTCTTATATTGCTATAAATAGACCACGCAAAAATTAGTTATGGGAAGTGCTTACGTACCACAATAACCAAACTAGATAAGTTAATTTAATAAAAAGGAAATTTAACATTATCTACTTAAACTGTTACATACAATATCAGTTTCGATTTTGTGCTTGAAAACATTTGTTTAGTCACGTATGCACTAACTAATGATTTGTCTAATTACGACAATAACTGTAATGTCTTTTTTTACGTTCAATTATGTAAAGATACTTATAGTTTTTGCATTAATATAAAATGTAAATTTAATATAAATATTTCCTTTTTTCAATTTTTATTTTATTTCTTTTTGAATACTTATGAAGCAAAAATCAGAGCTTAAATATAAATATCTACGAGTATTTTAAAATAATCCAATTCCCTCGTGTTCAGACGTAAATTCAGAGTTCTAAAACAATTAAACGGACGTGGAACAAAATCTGTTGATAAAATGTTTCATTTGTTTTTAATTTAATTTTCAAATTAGTTCAAAATTTTGTAAAAAACAAAGAAATAAAATCCCCCCCAAAAAATTATATACGAAGAACATTATGAGTTTTACTATAAAAAAATCTTGAAAACTTGTGAAAGTATCAGCACTATCAACATGCGGTAATTTCTATTAGCCTGTTAGCAATTTCGTTTTATAGAATTCAAATATGAGAAAAAATTGAGAAAAAAATTGTATAATATTAAAATTTTTATTCTAAAAAATTTACAATGTACTAACTCATTTTGTAATCATTAAAAAATGTGAGACACAAGTCAACTTATACGTACAATATGTATAATGAGAAACAGAAAATACCGTTACGTATGTACATAATACGTTTAAAAAAACTCTTTGTGCTATTAAGAAAAAAAATGTATTACCTACACAAACAAAAATCTAAAAAATAGGTATATAATATTCTCAATGATTTCACCATTTCTATATTTGACCTTCCACCAAAATATTTAAAGTGGATCCATCGTGTCTGTTTAATCTTTAAATCCACTTTGTACACATATTTATAACAATTTAATGACTGCAGAATTACGATCAATGACTTTGCAACTCTACAAATTGATTCAATAAATGAATGAAATAATGCAAAAATGGTGAAAAAAACTACAGTGTAATCAAATTTACTACAGCGGATCTGTTTTCAGGCGGAACACGTAAACAGTAGCTTTCTAGTTGACTTTTGACCTGGATAGGACCTTGGGATAAAATTATCTGGCTGGCGTATTGCGTTCCAAGCCCCCGAACACGCCTTTTCCGAACCTTTGGTGTACGGAGGCGTCTTATCCTTGCTGCACGCGTCATCCAGTTCGAACTTTGCTCATCTTCACGCTTTCGAAGCGTGTCTTGTTGACGTCAGACAAAGTTGCATCGCTAGTCAGGATAAGGACCTGTCAATGGCATAGAAAAACGTTTACTTTAAGAGATAACAGAAAAGGTGTAGCAAACACCTTCAATATAAAAAAGCCTTAATTATTCTTTTCTTGTATAAATAAGCCTTCTAATTAGTTAACGAACGATACGACTTTCAAACCGAATAGTAAACAGGCGTTTCGGGTGCTATTTTTGATCATCGAATAAAATCCAACTGAAACTCATTTGTTCCAAAGTACAGAATGTTATTTTCGTAAGCGAAGGACTCGAAGGAGTCTCCCAAACAAAAAGTTCGACTTTGGATTGCTCTAAATTTTAAATGATTCCGATGTTAAATAACATGCAGTAGCGTAGGTATTTCTCTTATGCTTGTAAATCCAGAAAAAAAAACAGTAAATGAAAACGGATTTATTAGATTTCAAATTTTTCCTTTCCATTTTTTTTTATTGAAAAATAATACCCATTTCATCAGTCTCAATAGTGACGAGACGTGATTTTCCTAAAGTGACCTTACATAAAAGGTTCATCTAAATGTTATAGAAAGTTTCCCCGCCCAAAAAATAAAATAAAACGAAAAGATGTAATAACGTAAACTTATTACATCAGTGAATTAAGAGCATAATAGGTGTGTAGTACAACTAGTGGCATTTATTCTTGCGTATATCAAGGAGGAGTGGTTCGCGATGACCCTTTTTATCAAGGGCACGCACACCCTTATAGTTGTCAACCAAGTTTTCGCATAGTTTTTTAATAGTAAAATGTTGTAATTTTGACCTTGTGTGCTTTCTTGTCTAATTTATTAATATTATTTATTTTGCGACAATAAGTATATGCACAAATAATTGTGTACTTTATCACTCAGTAATTAGGTATTGATGAATTTTAACAATTTTAGATTGTTAAATGCAGTCAGTTAATTTTGCGTACAATGATAATTGCCCTACTCCCATATCTAATTTAATGGGAAACCAAACAATAACTTAATTTAGAACAACTGTATCGCATCAGAATGAGATGAAAAAATTACATCGTTAATGTTTTCTTTCCATTGTCAACCAAAACACATTTTTATTTTACACAAATTGCTGATATGAATTTAAAACTTTTTTTATTTAATGTAAAATATAAATTATATAAAGCCTATAGCTGTTTAAGATGTGTAGGTACTTACTTTAACTCATTTGTTATTAAATCCTTACAAAATTCTAGTGTTTTTAATAATACCTTTTACATTCTGTATGGTATTTCAAAAATTTTTAAGAAAAGCCTCAAAGTTCTACCTACTAATAAGTAAAAGTAGGTTACTAATTATAATTCTAAATCAATAAGTAGTTTCCAGTAATTAGATATTTCCTTTATGTTTTTAAAAAGTTTAACAAAGAAATAGCACATTATTTTTATATTATTATAATTTGCACATCATTATAATAACTTATATGCACACACTTTTCCTTTGAAGATAAAACCAATTAAAAATAAATTACGAATTTTTAAATTTTATGTGACTGTATTTTTATTTAATTTGATTTTAAATCGATTTGAAAAGCCAAAAATATATTGTTTTTCTTTTCCTATTTTTTACTCTACATGGATATCCAACTCATAAAATTTAGAAAAATGTGACGGATAAAAGAAAATCGTATAAAATAAGAATAATTAACAAAACAAATAAAAAAGTAGCAATAACATAAAAAATTACATCAGCTGGATTGTCAGATTTATATTTTTTATGACAACATATTACCTGTTCTGTATGATGCAAATCCCTATATAATTAGGTCATACTTGCTGGAAATGTAAACAACTACTTCCATTTCGATTAAATTGTCGCATTTAAGAAAGAAGTGACTTACCTCCCTGTATAATTTTTGACATTAGATAATTTCAAAAAGATTGTTCACAAAACAAGACTATGAATAAGTCATCCCTACAAGTAATAAATAAATCATATATCGCGACATTTTTTAACACTGAACATATTTCTTGGTTTAGCTGCAAAACGCACAGATCATTGTATTGCTAGTATTGGAGTATTACTATGAAACCAATTATTATTGGCCTGTGTTTTTTTAAATTGAATATAGTGACACCATTAGAAATTCAACAACTTTATTATTCAATCGTAGATATATTAAAAATATGTAAATAAGCACAACTCAAAAATTAATAAGTGTTGATAGACATTGAGCAAAAGAAAACTAATAAAACAAAAGCAACATTATTAAAAATAAAAATCAATTTTAAAAAATCGAATTTATAGAGTACATAATAAAAAATCTCCACAAACGTACTACTACTATTAAATTCAAACATTGCATCACCATTATAAGGCTAGCTTAAAGCTACGTACATTATAAATATTATAATAAAATATATTTTTTTCAACATAGAGTTAGTTAATCTTTAAACATTATCTATGACAAGCCATTTTTCATGTAATTGTTCTACTTGCTGATTAATGATGGGATGTCGAAGCCTCATTCTGACTTCTAATTTGCCTCCAACTTTTTTCCTTCCTTCCAATAACTGTAAAAACTGTCATTTAGCAAAAAATTAACAAGTAAAATTCATAACTTACGTCAAAACTGTCGTGTAATTCACACTGAGTTTCCAATGGTTGCAATTTGACTGTGGCAGTACCAATTAACGAATCACCACGGAAGAAACCGCTGAAACAACAAGCAATGTCGCTAGCGCACCAGCAGCTAGCACACCCCATACATGGCACCCTCAACTTTGAGCAACAATATCATTGTTTAATCCCACCACCAACATTGTATTACAAAACAAAATGCATCAAAAAAGCAGAGACTGTAGCGTTATCATCACCCAAGTTGGCTTTGATGAATATCACACTAACAACAATTCAAAGACAAGGTTTTAAGAGTTTTTTTGGGAAACAAAAATTGTGCACTTCTAAAACCTGACAAAGAAGCGTGTGAATGACGATGTTTCAAATGTATGTACAGAGTGATTCATTCACTCAACTATGCGACTCTGACAAATTCTAAGTATTAAAATTCGCTCACCAACTCAACGAAAGGTGGTATGCTTAAGTGTAAAGATAAACAGTAAAAAACATGTATAATATTAATACAATATCCCAATGACAGAATTGTACTTGTACCTAGATAACATTAAAACTTCAAGTTCATAAAAAACGTACAGTTATGTCAATCACCCTGTATAAAGCAGTGATATACAATGGCACATTCATTATTATATGGTATGATCAAATAAATTTAAGGTCAAAGTCGACTCTTGATTAAACAAAACACATCGTACTTTTAATTTAATTACTATTGAATGAATAGTTTGGTTTATTTCACAAAAAACCAATTATGATACTGGAAATCAAATCAACACCATCTTGTTTGTATTTATTAATATTTTTTTCTACAGGACCCACATTTATGTAACTTTTTTTCAAAAAGTATTCCAAGTTGGTGCATTTAGCGTCCGCAAATTAAAACTTTCAAAGATTATGTTAAATACCTGTAAAACTACTTCATTAATTTTTGCAAAGTAGATAAATTTACACGCATAAAATTGTTATATCGCATTAATTACGATACGCAGACCTTAGAATGAATGATGTAACTGAACAAGTTATGACGATAGAACCACTCTGGAGCATTTTATAAATAAACTGAAGTAAACAACATCATCATATATGCAAAATAAATGAACACAAAAACACATAAACACAAAACGTTTTAGTCAATAAACCACTTCATGGACAATGAAAAATTATGGAAATGTTGTTGACATTATTTTCAACTTTTTTAACTTTCGAAAGCTCTCAAGCAATTATCCCGCCTTGGTCCGTGTCAATAAAAAAAAAACTTAAGCAATTCTGAGCGGCGACATTTTATATTTAATTCTGTATTCTGTATCATAAATTTCTTTTTTAGCTAGGTAGTTACAATGTTGCTTTTATAAATTCTTTATCAACATCTGTCTCCTAAATAAATATTGCATGACTTAATTCGTGCTTTCAATTTAAAGCAACTGCAGCTGATGATTACATGATGAAGAAAACTGAAAACTGATGAGAAGTCGATAAGCCATTCAAAGAAATTTTAAAATTAGAAATTATATTGCTCAAAAGTAGTTGCCGTTGAATGAGTGTGCAGATACACAAGTACTCGAAATAAAAAAGCACAAACAATAAGCTCAAATCGCACTTGATTTTACAGTTGGAAGTGGATTTTTCAAGCAAAATTATAAAGAAAAACTCACCCTTTTGAGTAAACCTCAAATTTAACAGATTGCCTCTTGAAAACCCTCTGGCAGACTCTTGCATTTCTCTGTATGGGTATTGTGTAGGTGGCGTTGTATTCCGGACTATTGGTGTCTTTAACAGTGGCTGTTCTTTGAGAAAAAGGTTCATCCTAAATAGTACATAACATGCATATATAAAAATATATTGAGGTAAAACATCTTACCTGAGGATATGGAAATTCAAACTTAACATACGTATCAATCTCTTTAGGATTACTGCAAGTGTAACTTATCCCTCTAACAATCGTTAATTCTAAATCGTTTTCACCCAATTCAGTAAAACTTTTTACAATGGAAAAATCTCTATTTTCGTAATGGAATTTAGGAATCCTCGCACCGGGAGTTCTCCGTGCTAATCTCACTATATCCAAATCTTTAGTAACATTTAAAGCTAATCTTTCAAAACGATTTGTTCCCCCTACATCGCCAAGAGCTTTATGATGATCACGAGTACTCAAGCACATTTTTAACTGTTTCGTCAACTGGTTTTCTAATCTTGCAATAACATCCGTGTTAGAATTATTATCTTCGGTACATTCGTCCGCCATCACCATTTCGTACCTTAAAAATTAAACGATTTATTATTGAGGTAGGTAGTCAAACTTTCAGAAATAATACTCGTTGTCTAGTTGTGATTTCGCAGATGGCGACACCGGCAACGTGGACAAATCCACTGGAAGACCACAACTCGCTGCATCAATAAGGGGATCAAAACCTTTAGCAGTCCTTAGAAATTCCTTCGCCTGGTCAATTTCACCCTTTCGTTTGGCGTTGAGGGCGGCTTCTTTGAACTGCTTTTGTTTAGCCAAAAGAAGAACCAGTTGCTTGTCAGCTCTTGTATTTGGAACATGATTTCCTGTAAACAGGAAATCAACCTAATAACAGTCTGTTCAGATGACAAGTAAGTAAAAAACTGTTTCAGTTGTAACTACAACCGCCATTCTTTAATTTAAAACCAATTTCGAAGACATCGTAGGATCACTGATGACTTAATTACCTGAAATTCTCGTCGACTGTGAAGTCGATGGGTTTGTTCTCGGAGACGTTTCAGGTTTAGCTGGTTGATCCGTCGCAGCAGAAGTAGGCTTTGGTGTCACAGGTGTAGGTTTAGGAGCTTCACTTCCCGGAACCGGAATTGGAGCATAACCTGGAGGAGTTGGCAACTCATCGACCGGAATCGGCTTCCCCGCTTTATGAGCTTTGATGGATTGTTCATACTGTTTCACAATTCGACCCATTCTTCTGGCTTTACTCGCATTGCCTTGTTCTTTTGCCGACTCTTCTTGTTTCTTATAAACACTCAATCTTTGTTCTAAGGCTTCCAGAACCGATGAAGCTGTTATAAGATTTTCATCAGCATCTGGTTCTTCACCTTGCGAAACGCTATCATTTTGCGTTTTATTCTCCTCAATTTTTTCGACTGGATCTTGAGGTGGCCCTGGCATTCGAGACAAGTCGACGGGTTGGCCACTTTGGGCCGCTGTAATGACCGATTCAAACTGTTTGGCAATTTTTATGTAACTAATGGCAGTTGGATTGTCGCCTGACTTTTTTGCTTTAAGAGCGGCAATTTTATATTGATTTTTTCGTTCCGTAAGCAAGTTGATTAGTTGCGGGTCTACTTGAGGAACTGAGGGGGTCTCTTCGGGAGTTTTTTCGGGTTCTGGTTCAGGTTCGGGGTCAGGTTGTGGAGGAATTGGAGGAGCAGCCCTCGATGGCTGAGGTGGGGATTCATTTGTGTCAGTGGTAGGAGGATTTTTCACACCAGTACTAACTTCAGGAGGAATGTCATCATTGTTAATGGGCCGGCCTGCGTTTGCTTGTTTTATTAAGTCTTTGAGAGTTTTTAAGCCTCTACCAAACCGTCTTGCTCTGCTTGATTCACCAGCAGCTTTAGCGTTTTTTTCGGCTTCTTCGTACATTTTTAATCGATCATTTAAAAGTTTCAATGTGTCGTTGGATCCCTCAGGTGATTTCACCGGTGAAGACTGTTCCTCCTCTTCTTTTTCTGGTGTGTCTCCTGAAAACAATAATATTGTTTTTTTAAGTCACATCGATTAAAATGTAACCAATATTTAAATTATAATACCATGCGTTCCACTAAATTCCTGGACAGAGTAGGCTGAGACTTTGAGATTAAGTTGGCAACAATACATACTCTGTCTACGGAGAACTACATACTTTAGTCTGTTTTTTTAGTCTTTTTACATAATTAAGTTTTTAGGTACCCTTAACTCTGTCGAGTAACTAATCATTATGATTTTTGTTGTCAAGTAAACCGCAAATTTAAAATCTTAATTTGGCAACATTGACTCAAAAAATAGCGTGCGATCAAATAAAAAGTAAATTAGAATAGGCGTCGATTAAATTCTACAGTTGGCAACACATTGGCTGGGAATCTGAGCTGGAAATTTTCCACACAAACTGAAAGTGAAAATGACCATCCACAGTTTTCCTCTTGTACAGCAATAAAAATTTTCTGCTCTAAAGTGAACAGTGGCGTAACTACCCACCCGCCAAAACCCACAGCCGCGGGGGGGCCCTTGGGATAAAAGGCCCTTTCCAAAATAGTAATAGTGTAAAAAAATTTAGAGCGAGTACATGAATTATTATAGGCCAATGCAATAAAAAATAAAAAACTGCAGAATTTTCTCTTCTTCGAGCGTATTCAGTGTCGAGCCAGGCGCGATACGCCAAGGTCGAACGCTGAGGAAGACAAAACATTTCGAGGAACTACAATCCTGGAAAGAAATTGTTTTGTGTTATAATTTATTTCAGTTCGCACCATATTATCAGCTGTTAATAATGCTATTTCCCGCGTCAATTTTATGTTCGAACAAGCACTTCTGATCGTGATGTAATCTGTGAAAACTACTTGTTTAAGATTTTAAGTAAGTCAGTAAGTCTTATCTTTTATACAGTTGCGGAATTAAAATTTCGGGCAGTATTTTTCTGTCACTTTAAAAAGTTCATTGACAATTATAACCTTTTTGGTCGGTGACGCAGTCAGTTTGAATTTTTCGCAAAACCAAAAATAGAGTTACTCTTTTCAATAAAGTAAGAGTGATAACATTCACTGAAAAAGGAATGTCGCAGAGACAGATTGCCGAAAAAAAAAAATCATCATTTTGATCGGCTGCCTACCCGTTATTATGCCACAAATCACTGTTTTTGAAAATTAGTCAAAATGACATAAACATGACAAGAGTAAACATGTATTTTTATGACGTCAAAATTAATCTAAAAAAATATGAAAAAAGCAAAAGCACTTAATGGTAGTGCTTAAAGAATAAGAAAAGAATAAGAGAAGAAGAAGTTCGTCGTTTGGCATAACTTGTAAAAAATTTGTATATTCGTATTCGTATTTGCAGAATTTTTAATACTAGAGACTACTGGAGACATAACTGCTCTTTTACTCTATTTAACTCTCGGAGAAGAGAGGGGCCCCACAGTCGTCTTTCGCGGGGGGGGCAAATTTTCTAGTTACGCCACTGAAAGTAAACATTATTTCACTCAAAAGGAATAAAATTCAAACTTGTCAAAGTTTGCGCTGACATTTGATGTCAAAAATCAGGATTGCCATCTGAAGGACTTTAATCACCGGCTACTCTAATTTTTTTTTGATCGCACGATACAAACGTTACAAATTTATTTCATTTAGCATTTAATTGCGAGAAGCTGTCGCTGGCATAGCAGTCACCTTGTCACCTCAAACAATTTAATATATATTTAATATACAGATTTACTAAAAATAATTCAGTTTTGACAACTTAATTTCAAACCACAGCCAACTCTGATCAGAAATTAAGTTGAACGGTGTTTTGTCAATTTTATAATTTTCAGCTAGAATAACTATTGACAGTGTATTAGTGGAAATTTTTCGTTATTTATAAAGTGGAAATCATTGCGTTAATCACCACGAGCACTTAAAAAGCCATTATTTATACCCGCTATGTTGCTCAACTCATTCAACAGTTCTGGATCATCGTCATCCCCCGATAGCTCCTCATCTGAAGGTACATCCTTCATACTTTCAGCAACCATTGCATCTAAATCCGCATCAGGAACCTTCTTTCTTGGGGGGCGTTTGGGTTTACCACCGCTTCCTTGAGTCAAAGCTGCCAATTCGGCTTCCAAATCACTATCATGCTCATTTTCAACGCCGGCATCCATTAGCCCCCCTTCTAGATTAAAATCAGCTGATACATCAAACAACCCATACTACAAAATAAATGTCAACGTAAATGTAAAAAAACTCTTAACAAACCAACATACCTGTGACAAATTTCTCCCGGAATGGTCCCGCTTTGTTTTCTCGCTATTCTTAGCCCCAAACATTGTTGAATTCACGAAAAAGATGTGTACAACAATGACACAAAATTGACAGAATGTTACACCAAGGTTAAAACGCAGAGAAGTTGTTGTTGTGCTTTTGAAATAATTTTACATTACAATCAAGATCACAAGGGACCTAAACTTAATTCGTTAAATTTGTAAATGACTCAACCACTCAACGAGACGTCATTTCTTTCAACATTTTTATTGGTTAACATTTGAAATTAATTGTCCAGTGATACCAACTATGCGTCTGTTTTGGTGATATGTGGAACACCAATAAAATCAAACCACCACCACTTAACACGATTTTTGTTTTCGAAACGAGCCGCGTAGCGGCGAGTTGAGGAACAAATGAGTGCTTGAAGAACCTTCTGCAACAAGTGCTTTATACTATTTTTTCTATTTTGCCGCTTTATATCATTTTAT